GTGTGTGTGTGTGTGTGTGTGTGTGTGTGTGTGTGTGTGTGTGTGTGCTACCTTCATGGACAGCAGCCTGGTCAGGTATATCTCGGGGATGGCTTTGGCCCGCTCCCTCTCCCTCATGCTGCTCTTCCGGTGCTTTGGGACTTCCGGGTCCTCGCTGCTCTTCACCAGGTGCCACAGACGCAGACCCTCCTCCTCCTCCGTCTCCAGCATCGGCGTTTCTGTGGCAACCACACAGATATCAGTCACCACGACAACCAGAAAACAAGATCTAACTTCTACATGATCTCTGTGGTTTATTCCTCTTTGTTCTACATGATCTCTGTGGTTTATTCCTCTTTGTTCTACATGGTTCCAGTGGTTTATTCCTTTTGGTTCTACATTATCTCTGTGGTTTATTGCTCTTTGTTCTACATGATATCTTTGTTTTATTCCTCTTTGTTCTACATGGTTCCAGTGGTTTATTTCTCTTTGTTCTACATGGTTCCACTGGTTTATTCCTCTTTGTTCTACATGATATCTTTGTTTTATTCCTCTTTGTTCTACATGGTTCCAGTGGTTTATTCCTTTTGGTTCTACATTATCTCTGTGGTTTATTCCTCTTTGTTCTACATGGTACCAGTGGTTTATTTCTCTTTGTTCTACATGGTACCAGTGGTTTATTTCTCTTTGTTCTACATGGTTCCAGTGGTTTATTCCTCTTTGTTCTACATGATATCTGTGTTTTATTAATCTTTGTTCTACGTGATCTCTGTGGTTTATTCCTCTTTGTTCTACATGGTTCCTGTGTTTTATTCATCTTTGTTCTACATGATCTCTGTGTTTTATTCATCTTTGTTATACATGATCTCTGTTGTTTATTCCTCTTTTTTCTACATGCTCTCTGTGGTTTATTCTTCTTTGTTCTACATGATTCCAGTGGTTTATTCCTTTTGGTTCTACATTATCTCTGTGGTTTATTCCTCTTTGTTCTACATGGTTCCAGTGGTTTATTTCTCTTTGTTCTACATGGTTCCAGTGGTTTATTCCTCTTTGTTCTACATGGTTCCAGTGGTTTAATCCTCTTTGTTCTACATGGTTCCAGTGGTTTAATCTTTGTTCTACATGGTTCCGGGGGTTTATTCCTCTTTATTCTACATGATCTCTGTGGTTTATTCCTCTTTGTTCTACATGATCTCTGTGGTTTATTCCTCTTTGTTCTACATGGTTCAAGTGGTTTATTCCTCTTTGTTCTACATTATCTCTGTGGATTATTCCTCTTTGTTCTACGTGATCTCTGTGGTTTATTCCTCTTTGGTTCCAGTGTTTCATTCTTCTTTGTTCTACATGGTTCCTGTGGTTTCTTCCTCTTTATTCTACATTATCTCTGTGGTTTATTCGTCTTGATTCTACATGATCTCTGTGGTTTATTCCTCTTTGTTCAACATGGTCCCGGTGGTTTATTCCTCTTTGTTCTACATGGTTCCTGTGCTTTATTCCTGTGTTCTTTATGGGGTGTGGGGGTCCCCTGTGTGTTTGTGTTAGTGCTCTTACTCTCTCCGGTCTGGAACACCTGGCTGACTCCCGCTGAGCTCTGAGATCGGGGGATCAGGGCCACCGTGGCTCCATCCGGGACCTGAGGAACAGCAGCAGAACGTCAGCGGGACGGGGTGGGTAAGGTGGGGGGGGGCAGGGGGGTGAGGTGAGGTAAGGTCAAATAAATAAATAAATAAATAAATAAATAAATAAATAAATAAATAAAAAAATAAATAAATAAATAAATAAATAAATAAAAAATAATAATAAATAAATAGTAGGTCTGTACAGGCACGTGCAGAGGGGGGTGCTAAAGGGGCTTGAGCATCTGCCCCTTTTGCTCCATGATCCCAATGTGCCCTTTTGGTCTTTTTTATTTTTTTATTTATTTTTATTTATTTATTTATTTTTATTTGACACATGTACTGAAATTGTTATCATCTTTTTTTTATTTTTGCAATATAAACAACACAATGAGCCCTTTGGTCACACTAAAAGGCTGCATTGTGCCCTTGTATGCATTTTTAACAGTTTAATTCTGTAAATAAATGTCTGGTGGTCCAGCTCTGATTCACATATTTTGCTAAATTGCAGGTTTGAGCATTGTAATACTTTCCTAAAATAAAAATAGACCTGCAGAAAGAAATGACTAATAAAATATTTTACATATGCATAGTTCTATGTTCTATGTAGAGATTTTCCTTAGCTCTGATTGTATGTCTCACAATTTTGTAATTTATCATTGTTCATTAAACTCTGAAAGCTATGTGACTTTGTTAATATTCTGTCCTAAAATTTTAGATTAGATGTGCCCTTTTTTTTTTAGCACCTGCCCCTTTAGTGGTCTCTGCACAGCCCTGGTTGGGGGGAGTGGGGGGGGCTGAGTGGGGTTAGGGGGGGGGCTTACTTTGTAGTGCTGCAGAGTGTTGATCCGCTTCCAGCGACCGTTAACCACGGCGGTAACGTCTTCGTCCGACAGGGTCAGGTGACCCGCCTGACCCGAACGCCACTCTGTTGACCAATGAGAGACCAGTGAGAATGGGGCCGGACTCAGGTGGACTCAGGTGGACCTATAGATGAGGCTCAGATCTGTACCCAGGTCCAGGCTGTCCGCCGCTGGTCTCTGAGAGAAGGGGGCTCCTCTGTAGACCTGGTCCAGGATCTTATCCTTCACCTGCACACAGAGAGACAGTCAGTCAGACAGTCAGATAGACAGATAAACAGTCAGACAGACAGACAGACAGACAGATAAACAGTCAGATAGACAGACAGATAAACAGACAGACAGATAAACAGTCAGACAGTCAGTCAGATAAACAGTCAGATAAACAGACAGACAGACAGACAGACAGACAGACAGACAGACAGACAGACAGACAGACAGACAGACAGACAGACAGACAGACAGACAGACAGACAAACAGACAGACAGACAGACAGACAGACAGACAGACAGACAGACAGACAGTCAGACAGATAAACAGACAGACAGATAAACAGACAGACAGATAAACAGACAGACAGAGAGATAAACAGACAGACAGACAGTCAGTCAGATAAACAGACAGACAGATAAACAGACAGACAGACAGACAGACAGACAGACAGACAGACAGACAGACA